TAAATAAATTTGACCATCAAAATAATAAATCTAAATTAGTCATTGAAACAAAAAAAAGTTAAAAATAATAATATATGTTTGAGGAAGATTAAATATACCCATATGGGATTATATTTTTTAAAAATAATTAAAAAAATTAAACTAAAATTAATTTTTTCACTTTCGTTAGAGGAAAAGGGTATATGTGAGCCATTTGTATAACAGTAGGGGTATATATGAGCCACTTTTATAACGAGGGGTATATCAGCTCTAAATGACAAAGTTGAGGGGTATATCAGACCCTTTTCCCTTGTCCAAATAATATATTTAAAGAGATCGTCACTCATATCTTAAAAGCCCGATGTATGAGACTCTATCTTCAGTACCCCCCCCCCCCTCTTTACCACACGCTCAGGGTTATTGGAGGCTCAATATCAAAAATTAAATTAAATTGGAACGAGTCCTGATTTGATACCATGCATGTAAGAAAATAGATCCCAAACGTCTTACCTTAACCCCAAAAGTTAATTCAAGAAGTGAGGATTGTTCAAATCATAATAAAGAGATGATTCATCTCTTAAACGGCTGATGTGAGACTCTTTACAATTATGGTAAGAGTTTAAGATCTATAAATTTTAGCAATATATTACTCCGTTCGTTTCAATTTGTTTGTCTCACTTATCTTTTTGATCCATTTTTTAACAATTTTTTAATATCAACTTTCCACCTGACATGTTTAAGACTACAAATATAAAGACATTTTAGTATATTCTACACATCTTTAATTTTAGACTACAAGATGCAAATATATTTACTTTTTCAAATTATATTTCAAATCAAAATCAGATAAATAAATAAAAATAAATAGGAGAGATTAGTATAAGAAGAATGATTGCGAACTCATCGTCTAATAAATGTTTTTTGGTAAAAATATATTTTTATTTAATTAAATCTTTTGTGAATTTGATTCTTTTTCATATGTTTAACACACGAACTTTTTTAATAATGTGTGACGGCTACTGTAATTTCATAGTGATTTTGTCAAATCATTTCATTTTAAGTAATTAAAGAACTTTTTTATTTATTTAATTACACATTCAACACTTACAATAATGTAGTTTAGTTAACCAATCAAAGTTCTAGCCAAAAGAATATTAATAATGTTATTGTTGCTGCGTTGCTCGGAAAATAGGATATTCCTACAAATTAAATGAAAAAGATCGACTTATTTATAGATTACAACAAAGGGCCCTCAACCAATAAGAAGGTTTCTTTAGAGCCCTACAGTACGAAACCCAATGTGCCATAATATGTCAAATTAAAATCGTTGGTGGAACTAGTTAATATTTTTGCACGGCTCAAGTTCGTGCGATCTTGTATGTGCACATCCTTCTGACATTCTTGTCCCCCTTTTATCTTTTCTTCTACATTATCGTAAGAAAGATCTCTGATCCAATGATCTTATCAAGAACACCACTCTAAATTCAACCTTTCGGGATTTATACCTCTAATAATTCTCAACACTGCATATTCAATTTATCCATATACCACGTATTTAAATTTAAAAAATTCCATGACTATTATTAATTAGAACCATGGCCCTCAAGCTTCAAATTTGGTAAAATTTCATGGTCCTCACTCCTCACTAGTGACACATACCCCTCAAAGTTTGGTGAATTTTGATGAACTTCTTCACGACACGGCTAAAATATCTGCTTAAGCTATAAACAAATTAGATTATTTAGATGTCCTAAACAAAAAAACAAAACAAAACAAAAAAAAACAAGAAACTTCATTTTGATACGTTTTCTGTAAAAGAATAGTTTGGTATTATCCATTCTATTTATGTAATAAAGTGAGATAAGGCACTACGTCTCCCCTTTTTAAATGTTTTTACATGATTTGATGTATGTTTGATTGTTTGGTACGATAGAGATAGAAAATATTATTTATATATAAATTAGATAAATATTATGGAAGATAAGAGTTGAGTGATGGGGTGTGAGGATGAAGGTACGGGACGGGAGAGAGAAATGAGGTGTATTGGAAGGTGGAGAGGACACTTATGATATGTCACTTGTAAACTTTGTTTTTCTTAAGCTTATATGATTTGCAATCGTTGAGTGGTTTGAGTTCAATGAAATTTGAGGTACGCTTGTATTTGTTCATGATTAAATTTAATTGGATTTTCACAAATTATTTTTCAATTATTCTTTGATTCTTTGTTTTGTGAAAAAACATTTCATGCAATTGTTGATTGATCATAAATACTACGTATATCACATCTATATAATTATAATTTAATATACACGTACAACACACACGGATTAATATATAACGGAGCAAATAAAATTCGGCCGCCTTGTCTGACCGTCTGGGGCAATGTAATGCACCATTAACTACCAAAAATTAGCTTAAACCCACTACCAATCCATTATTATTACAGCACCAATAATAGCATTGCCTATTCCTTCGGGATGACTCAGTTGGTTTAGAGGGTGATTATCCACACAGATAATTTGGGATTGATCCCTCTTTAATGCCTTCTGAGTCTAGCCTGTCGCATAGGGCTTACCTAGTGTGGTTTACATCTCCGTGTGGTTTGGCTATTACACAGTGAGGGATTTACCCAGTGAGCACCTCACCCGAAGGATAAAGGCTGTGGCAAAGGTTGTAGTGACTGCGGGTTATCTGGATTCCAAAAATAAAATAAAAAATAGCACGCCTATCTTAATTAATTGTAAATTTGTAATTGGTCAAATCCAAAGAGAAAAATTACATGTTTTTTTTTTGTTCAAATGAATTAGGTGGCCTGCAAACCCCATGACTAATGAAGTATAGCAGCTCTTTTTTGAACAAAATGCTATATATTCTTCGCCGATCGTGATTTTTTTTTCCAATCAGAATTGTATTTTCCACTTAACTGAGTGTTCTTTGAAGAAGAAGAAGCGGCAGAAGGATCGGATATGGAGGTTAAAGGAATTGATGGGAAATTAGAAAAGAGTGATTCCACTTCTGCTGATGAAATTTCACATTTGTCTATTGACATTGGAGGTAATTTTTTGTTCAAATCGTACATTTCTGTTTTTTTTTTTGTGGGTGTGTGAGATCTTGAGATTCTTATTTGTTAAAGTGAAACGTGCATTTTACTTTTTATGTGATTTTGGAAAGTTGATTGTTTTTCTGTTTCTTATTAGTTCGATAGGGTTTAAGAAAAAAGAAGAAGAAGAAAAGTTTTTTTTTTGTATTGAGACTCATAATTCAGTTATGTTAACTAAGGAACTAAGAAAGAGAAATTCAGAAACTTTTGGAATTGCTATGTGCTTGATGGTTTATACTGGACTTCATGTTTCAATATGTGTTGCTCGGACTCTTCATAAATGTTATTGGGTTGGTGTTGGATGGAGCAGTGCATTTTTGGAGGATCCGACATGGGTGTGGCAACATTTTTGGAGAGTCTGAGCAATATAGGTTTCAATGAGGAATATAGGTTTCAATGAGGGTTAAAGGGGGATGAATGAGATGGCAGAGTAATTGATTCATAAAAATGAAAATGTGGAAAAAACGAAATTCA